AAACAAGACTAGATCCTAGTCTGGGACGAGTGCGCATCTCTCGAGCTCTACTTCGTCGAAAGTTTGTTGAGATAACGCGCTGTCAGGGACATCGTTGGGGATTCGGGCCATTCGGCTAGTCATAACTTCTCTCCAGCGCGGGGCTTACTGACGAAACCGCATTAGCCCGCTCATCCCTTCCTTCTTCCGTTAATCCAAAGGGTCAACAGATGGTAAGCCGAAGGGCGGTAAGCGATTTAAGCATTTGCTTGGTGGCGCTTAAGATGGTGCCAATGTCTTTGCATATTGCTTCGTCTGCAGCCTTGCTTGCTGCTTCTCTGTCTGCGTTGCGACATTGTCTTTTCTGAGAAAACGGGCAGGCGGACGGCAAGATGGCGCTTCCGAACGATGTCGACGCGTGCGAGAAAGACTTGCAGAGGGTTTCGGTATGAATTCATTCGGCGATGTTCATGATTTGCTCTCTAACACCGTCAACAGGACTCCAAAAACTCCCAGGACTCTCAACACATAGATGCAGCAAGCGATTACGATAATACAGCCGTTCGCGCCCTAGTCTGGAAACAAGACCTTCGCATCATCCCCCTCACAGCAGGAATCTACCTCCTCTGCTTCCTCGACAGATCAAACATCGGCAATGCCAAAACCCTCAATGCCAACGCCGGAGAATCCCTCCTGCAAGAAGCCAACATGACGAACTACCAATACACAATTGCGCTCATGGTCTTTCTTGTCGCTTACGCCGTGTTCGAAGTGCCCAGCAATTATTTCCTGAAGAAATTGAAACCCAGTCGCTGGATTGCTTTTCTCATGTTTGGTTGGGGTGCGTGCACAATTGGACTTGGTGGCGCGAACAACTATGCGACTGTTACGGCTGTGCGGTTCTTGCTAGGCATGTTTGAGGCGGGATTGTTCCCGGGGTTGGTGTACTATTTGACGTTTTGGTATCGTGCGCAAGAGAGGAGTATGCGTGTTGCTATCATCTTAGCGAGTGCGACGCTCGCGGGTGCTTTTGGAGGAGCGATCGCATATGGCGTTGGGCATATGAAGCAGGTTCAGGGCCTTTCGGCATGGAGGTGAGTCGCGCTGTATAGCACGCATGTGGCACATATACTGACATCTTACAAGGTGGCTATTCATCCTGGAAGGCATTCCTTCCTGCGTCTCGTCAGTAGCTGTCTGGCTGTTCTTACCAGACTATCCCGAGGAAGCCTCTTGGTTATCAACATCCGAGCGCGAATTAGCGGTCGCGCGGCTCGAGAAAGAAGGCTCAAAAGGCGATGCGCCATCATTGAATTGGGAAACCGCAAAGGCAACCCTACTTGACGGCCGACTTTGGGTGCACTACATCATCTACTTTGGCATCTCTGCACCGTTCAGCTCGCTTTCTCTCTTCACTCCGACGATTACTGCAGGTCTGGGCTACGAAAACCTCCAGGCGCAGCTAATGACAGTACCACCCTACGCCGTCGCATACGTGGTTTCAATCGTCACAGCTTGGTCATCGGACTACTTCAACGCCCGCGCATTGCACTCCGCTGTCTTGGCTACCATTGGAGCGATTGGCTTTCTGGCATCGGCCCTTCTTCCGGCTGAATCTTTTCATGCGCGCTATGGATGTCTGATTGTTGCAGCCAGTGGCGCTTTCTCTTGTATTCCACCACTGCTGGGTTGGTTGAGCAACAATATGCACAGCACCGCTGCTGCAGGGTTGGCCATTGCATTGAATGTCTCTTGGGGAGCTCCAGGTCAAATTGTTGGCGTATGGATCTACAAGGCGAACGAGAAAGAGCGAGGATATCCTACTGGCCATTGGACGAACTTTGGAATGTTGGTCATGGTTGCTGTCGGCTGTGTTGGGTTGAGGTTTTACTACCAGTGGCGAAACAAGAGATTGCAACGCTTGGGACCGGATGCGACGGGAATGAACAGGGAGTTCAGTTATTAAAGATAGCATATTATTCTGTAGAGCATGAAAGCCTACTAAGTCGCGGCATAAGTGACCAAGATGTCTGACAACCAACTTGACTAAGATCTATGCATGCGACTCAACGCGCTCAACACCATTCTGCTTCTCATACTGCATCGCAGTCTCCGTCAAAGCAGGCTTCAGTGAATCCGCTGCTTCGCGGGTAAACTTGCGTGCGGAAACCTTGTGCTCGAACATGAGATCCAACTCAGAGTAAGTGAAGCCCTTTGCCTCGGGAAGACGGAAGTATCCCCAAAGGATGAACAGAAGCGCGATTCCAGCCCAGAAGAAGCCACCCTTGGCGCCCCAGTTCCAGTCGTTCTTGCCAACCATCTTTGGCATGATAGTGTTTGTAACGAATACGATGGAGTTGTAGGAAGCACGAGAGAGTGCGACGGTCTTGACACGGAGGCGCGAGGATGGAATTTCGGCGGCGAGAGAGTAGCAGATGGGTCCGAGAGAGAGCTGATTGTGTTAGCTTTGGTCTAGTGGCTTAGGGAATACAAAAACTTACCTGGAAGCAGAAGATCATCAGAATGATCAAAACACCTCCAGCAAGACTGGCGCTCTTGTTGGTCGGTGGTGCAAGGCCGATGAAACCGACGATCATAAGAATGATGAAGATGGCAGTCAATCCAACGAGGTAGATAGGTCGTCGACCAAAGCGTGTCATGATCCACCAGGCGATGAAGCATCCAACGAGACCCAGGCAGTCTTGTCCGATAGTAAGATGGAAAGAATCATTCTGGCTGAGGCCTACACCTTGCATGAACTGGGTTCTGGTAAAATCAGTATATGTTTGTTTGGACAACGATAGGGAAACTTACCCAAAGCCCATGAAGGGAACACCGCAAAGAGCTTGAGTGATGAAAGCCATGGCAGAGACCTCGGTACGGTGTAGATCGCTTCCTTGGAACAGATGCCAGTAGTTGGTTCCAGAGCCGACTTGCTTCTCGTACTGATCGGTGACAACCATCATCTCGACGTGTGCATCAAGATCGAACTCGATGCCTTCAGTGGGTGTCGTGATTGCGCGAATAGCTTGCTTGGCCTCATCAATGCGACCTTGTCGCACCAACCACCATGGCGATTCTGGTGCAAGGAAGGTAGCCGCGATGATGGGAATGGGCCAGATCCACTGGAGAGCGAAAGGAACGCGGTAACCCCATTGAGTGGTGTTTTGCATCAGACCAGTGAGGATACCGGTGGACAAGAGACCGCCAATGACCCAGCACATGTTGATCCACGAGGTCATGTATCCTCTAAGATGCATAGGGCAGAGATCCGCAGCATACGAGATTGCAAGTGTCTGGAAGACACCCCATGGAAGACCCTGGATGATACCTCCGACGAGGAACATCTCCAATCCTGTGGAGAAGAACGGGATGAAGATGGCAGCAGTCATGAACAGCATGCTGGCAATCATGGTCTTCTTGTATCCGATCCATTCAGTGATGTATCCGTTGATGATGAGACCGAGAATGCATCCAACCTATGCGTGTGTTAGAGTTTGTTCAGTCGACATCCTCATCAAGAGTCTACGTACCTGAGTTCCGTTCAGGATGATGGTTTGCCACCTCGCAGACACAAGCTTGTTGCCATCCGCATCGACTTCATCGCCGAACCTGTTACGGAAGGGCTGGAAGGCGAAGAATTTGTTCATGAGACTGGTATCGTATCCCTCCATCACAACGCAAAGCGAAATGACGAAAGAAAAGACGATGGCCTTCCACCAGAACCTCAAGGACTGTCGGACGGACATGTTGTGCTCATTGTTGATAGCTGCGTTGGTGTCGTCTCCGGTGTTGTGTCCTTGTGTCGAGGTGACCCTTTCGGCGGCCACATGGCCAGTAGTCTTCTCTACTGAACCCATATCGAATTGAATCCAGAGTATGCCCGGTATCAAAGATGGGTCTTCGGTATTGATGGGTTGAGAAGATGCAGATTAACCACAAGTACGGATCTGCGGTCTATATAGTCCCCAGCGCTGTGGTATGCATGCCTGACAGACGAACCCATTACAGGAGTCAAATGGCTAGCCCGAGAGCTTGGGAAGCTAAGCCCCGGTAATGACCGAAATAGGGCAAGACCGCGGTGAGTTGCGGGGAAAGACATTCAGGACAAGAGTGCCCATGGGGAGACGAGGCGTCGAGTGCGCAAATGAAGCCAATCAGAACCCCGACGAGGTTTGCCCGGGCACCAGATCGCGAGAGAATTTCAAGAAAGTTTTCCTTGAGGTTTCCGCCGCTATCGTCACTTGGCGGGCCCGTCCCGACTCTAGTGTTGCAAAGAAAGCCAGGGCCCAGAAGAAGGACTCGCAGCAACCCTGGAAGGAATCCTTTTCTTCTCATTATGCGCTATAACATAACATGCGAGCTCTCATAAGGCGATCGAAGCAACGTAATGCTCTGAGGAGGACAAATTCCTGGATGAAAGTTACCACAGTATTGTTGTTGTTTGGGAGAACTGCCCGTTGTCAGCCCGAGCGTGTTTCCAACTTCCGATGCCACGCTAGCCGAGGCAATGTGTCTGCACGAGCCAAGCAGACCGGCTTTCTGACCCCGACCTGAGCTTTCCACATGAGTTTTCCACGTTCCATTCACGTTCCATCCACTTCATCCCCAGGTTCTTGCGCAAGCCCGACAAGCTATGCGCAAACCATCCGCCTGCCAAGCGTGCCGGTAAGCATCTTGCACGTTGTCAGTGGAGGCGAGCGACCGCTAATTCGGTTGGAAGTACCCGACGCCGGAAATGCATCTACCCAACAGGCGGGCTCGCAACGGCATGCGAGTATTGCTTGTCACATGGTCTGCAGTGTCTCCAAGGCCCCCCAGAGGGAGGTTACTATGCCAAACGCCGGGCTAGACTTCAAGAACTGAGTCGGGTACATCGCGCTCTCCCAGACCAAGCGGAAGCACTGCCAAATCAAGGTCATGACGATCTGCCACCGACTGCTTTGAGGCAGGCGCTGGTGGAGCTATACTTCGACTACATTCACGACCAGTTTCATTCCATGTATCACAAGGCGTCGTTCATGGACGATGTCGTAAACAACCGAGTACCGTCCATTGTGCTTTTCGCGATATGTGCGCTGGCTGCCAGGTTCTCTACCGACAGCTTCTTCGACGGAACTGATCCGAGAGAAAGAGGCGAGGTCTACCGCAAGGCAAGCGAGAGGTCGTTCAACATGCGCGACCTCACACCTACCACAATTCAAGCATGCGTTTTGCTGGGAGCATACGCTGCCGCGGGTGGTGAGACCGATGTCGAAAACATGTACTACAGCATGGGTGGACGACTTTGTCTGGCCCTCGATCTACCGAATCGACCCGTCACAAGTCTGGTAGAACGCGAAGTCAACATCAGAACTTGGTGGACACTGTGCATGGTAGACGTTTGGTCATCTACTGCAGTGAGACTACCGCGAATCATGCCATTTGACACTGCTGTACCTCTTCCAATTGATGAGATACCGTTCTCTATGATGAACGACGGGGCTATCAGCGACCAAACGCATGGCATCACCTCACCTCTTCTCGCGGAGATGATCAAGCTCAATCGGATTCTGGCGAGGATCATCGACTTCAATCGACTGTGCGTGTCAGAACACCTTGAAGGCCTACCGCTTGAGAAAGGTATACGCGAACTATCCCGCGATCTTGATGTCTGGTTGGAGGAAGTCCCGCACCATATGCGTGACACGCCAGCAAACCTGACAGCCTTCGCATCGCGTGGCCTTGGGCGTATGTTTGTAGCTGTGTATCTCGGCTACTACCATTACGGACTGCTCCTGAACTATCAATTCTTGTCATCTTCAATCGAAGCATCACCCGACTCCGGACGATATGCTGATGCCTGCAAGCAACATGCCGCCCGACTTTGCGCCCTCGTCTACCGCTCACAGTCCACGCCTGGGAGCGAAGTCTTGTATCCGGCAGTGTCGCATATCCTTGTCGTTGCTTCCACCGTTCAGATCCACACCTTGCTCTTTTCTGGTGACGAAAGCCAGATACGCATCTCAAAGACCAGATTGGAACGCAACTTCGAGATACTCCTGCGACTGAAGACCTATTGGCCGAGTGTCGACGGTGCAATGAGTCGTCTTCGGGCGTTCCACCAGACCTGTCTCCGAAGTAAAGAGACCAGCTTTGTGCTTGATCGGTGGCTGTTGCGCTTCCTGGTCCAATTTGCCCCTCACATGGAGCTCGAGCCAAGGGACAACGACCCCGAGTACGAAGCGTTGCTCGCATTGAGCAGGCAATCCCCATTGTCGTGCTATTCAGGCCTGTCCATGTGATCTTGCGCGACCGAGATTCTGAGCAGCACGCTGGGAATCCTGGAGAACAAGGACGGCAGCGAAGTGGTTCATTACGGCTCAAGCTGGTGGAGCCGAAATTAGCGTCGCGAAACTTACGAGCTTTCCTGGAGTGTGGAGCCCCAAGAGAGCCAGGGCTTGGCGACAGGGTCCGCCGCCCACGTTTGCGGTCCACTCGAAGTAGTACACACGTGTAAAGCTGTTTAAGAGTCTGAATTGTGCTTCTTTGCTTGAAGCAAGAATCACCTTCGCACTCAAGTCATGACTCTATCACGCAGCACCATTCTCGTGGTCACGACGCTGCTGGGCAGCGCGACAGCGATCAACAATGGCCTCGCTACTACCCCTCCAATGGGCTGGGTCAGACATTCGTATCCTACTCTTGAATTGTCATTAATAATATCAGAACAACTGGAACGCTTTTGGATGCGACGTCTCCGAAGACCTACTCCTTACAACCTCCGCACAGATTGTGAGCTTAGGCTTGCGAGACTTGGGTTACAACTATGTCGTACTGGACGACTGTTGGCAAAACCCAAAGGGTCGAGACAAGAAAGGAAAACTTCAACCGGCTCTCGACAAGTTCCCCAACGGCTTGAAGTCCATATCAGATCATCTCCATAGCCAAGACTTCAAGTTTGGCATGTACAGCAGCGCTGGTGAAATGACGTGTGCGAGATTTGGTAAGATGGATCAGATAAATATGCCTCTTGCATCAAACTGACTCAAAGTAGAGGGCTCGCTAGATCACGAGGTCGACGATGCAGAAAGCTTTGCAAGCTGGGGTGTCGATATGTTGAAATACGACAGCTGCTACCACATGGGTCGTGTTGGCACACCTTCGGTCTCATTCAACCGCTTCAAAGTCATGTCAGATGCTTTGAAATCAACAGGAAGGAACATTCTCCTCAATCTGTGCAACTGGGGAGAGGATCTTGTCCACACAGTAAGCACCACCTGATACCACATCCAACAATGTTCAAACACTTATCATTAATAGTGGGGAATGAGTATCTCAAACAGCTGGCGCATCACCGGCGACATCTACGACTCTTTCTCTCGCCCCGATGATCTCTGCGGATGCAACACCGTATCACCGGGCGACGTTAACTGCGTAGCACCCGGCACACATTGCTCGGTACTCTTCATCCTCAACAAAGTCGCTCCCTTTGCCGACCGTAGCATCCCTGGTGGATGGAGCGATCTGGACATGCTCGAGGTCGGCCAAGGTGGCATGACCGACGAAGAGTACAAAGCGCACTTTGCTCTCTGGGCCGCCATCAAGTCTCCTCTCTTCCTCGGAAACGACCTGCGCAACATGCCAGCTTCCGCTCTCACCATCGTCAACAACCCAGCCATCATTGCGCTGAGCCAGGATCCCCATGGACGCAGCGTAACGCGTGTTCGAAGGGATACGGAAGGTGTAGCGAAAGACGAGTGGGGTATGGGCGAGACGCACGTGTGGGCAGGCCACCTCCAGAACGGCGATGAAGTCGTGATCTTGCTCAACGCTGGTGGCAAAGACATGGAGATGAGCGTCTCTCTCGCTGAGATTTTCATCCCGTACGGACCTGGTGGATCAGCGCCCCACGTCAAATACGACTGGGCCATCCACGACCTCTGGGCCCATCGCATGCCCGAAGCGACGGCGGAAGAGCTCCTCGCAGCGGCCTCGCACACGGAGAGAGAATCGATCCTGTCAAAGGCAAATTGGTACAATGCTACCGAGACCCCTTACGCCAAGGGTCTGGTTCAGGAGGACCCGCGACTCTTTGGCGAGAAGATCGGCGTTGTTGAGGCTGGTGGTAGGCTCAAGGCAGACGTCAAGAGTCACGCTGCTCGCGTCTTCCGACTACGAAGAATCGCGCCAGAGGACGATCAGTTCGAGGCGAAGAGTATTGCGAGAGAAGACGGTAACGAGAGGGATGAATTGTAATGATGAGGCGATTAGTAAGGTACCTTGGTGGGACAAAAGATAGCCGACCTTAATGGAAAACAGAAAGGGACATAGGTTCTCAGAGTTTTGATACTTCTCATTCGCAATAAATCGTGTGAATTGTGGAAGGTGTGGATGGCTCGTTATCTCCAAGTCGACACAGTACCATGGAATGGAGTGGATAGAACCAGAGTATGAACTTCTGGATTTTTTGAATTTACAGCGATCTCGCTCTTCCTCCCTCCTAAATATCTTAACTCTTACACAGGCTGTCTCTGTGTTCTTTATCACACAAAGCAATCAAATCTACACCAGACGCAGCCATGACCAAAAACGCAAAGGTCACATCCCCGGCTCAAGCCACATCCGCAACCCAGACGACATCCTGGGAATGGTCAGCTCCATACTTCGTTAAGCGAGCGCAGGAAGTTCAGGCCAGATTAGATCTCCATCGACAGACTATGAATGATCTTCAGGGCCAGTATAAGAACCTTCAGAACCAGAATAGGAACCTGCAGGACCAGAATGAAAACCAGAAGAAGGATCACGAACGCGAGTTGAACACATGTATCGGAACGTTTATTGTCGTTTTGCTCACCTTCGCCGCCTTCATGATATGTGGCTTTCTGCCATCTTCTTCGCCCGAACGCTGTTCATGTGCGCTAGAAGCGAAAGCTGTCCAGATGACGGCCACGCCTACTACGGTCACGGTCACGCTACCCATAGCCGCGCCTACTACAGTCACCGTTACGCTACCGGTAGCGACCAACGCCATGCCGACAATCGAGGCTGCTTCAGCGATCACAGCCGCTTCATCAACCGATGCTGCAACATCAACTGAACCGGTAAGCCTTTTCCTAAAGTCGTACTTTCTACACAGGAATGCAGTCTACTAACGCCTTCAATAGTTCTGGTCTACCTTGACTCGCGAACAAATAAGATTCGTCGTCCACGACTATCGCAAGATTCAAGACCGATATCTACACAACAATAAGGTTGAGCAACAAGAAGTAGATGCGAAGCAGAAAGAAAGAGATGCGGAGTGGGCGGCCGACATGAAACAAAAGGTTGCGCAGTGGGATGAGAGCCTAAAAAAGAAAATAAGACAGCGCATAGGGGAAGCCCAAGAAGAAGCCCAGAAACAAGTCCAGAAACAGGCTGAAGAACAAGCTCGGCGTCAGCGGTGGTTGTCCGGATTCCGAGGGTGAATGGGCTGAGAACACTATATCCGACACATACTGGGTACATTGTTGACCTGGATCACTATGCAGAGCAGCGCGATTCTACGGGATTGGCTTGCCCTCAGGGCGTAGTGGTGATGCCTCAGAACTAGTCTTGAGAGCTCAAGAGAACAGAGGTTGGTGTCGACGGCGTCGTAGAACAAAGCCAGAGCCGGACACCTACAAAGAAGCTAAAGCCCCGCACTTTGTATTGCACAAGTGAGATATAAGTATACGTGATAGTTTACTCGATGCAACTGTACGACAGCAGTGCTGTGAATGCTTCTAGGATTGACCTTGCGAAGCGTCCCACCTCGTTTCCCCAGCATCGTATGCCTCGAGATTATTTCTACACTTGCCCAGCTTGCACTTTATCTCGTTTCATAGTCTACACAAGAGAACTTACTATTAGCAAGACTAGACAAACAATACCACGAATTCTCTTCGGTAATATACCACATACATCTACCACACATCATCTCAATCTCCATCATGAACAATCTACCCTCTTCACCAGCATACTATCTTGGGCCGATCAGCCGCCCCGTTCTCCCAGCTCACCGCATGGATAATCTGAAAGAACGCGAGCCATCAAGGGCAGGAGACCTCTACACAGCAGAGATCGGTCAGACGGTCAACACTATGAACTCAGAGAAACGCGGTCAAGTTGATAACGGGGAGATGGTCCGCCGTAGACCCGGTCCACTACCCAACTATTCTGGGCGTGAGCCAAAACGACAGTAAGAGTGAGGACGTGAAGGCTGTAGTCAGCATGGTAAACACCATGCAGACCAGCTGGATCGGCCAGTTCTCTTGGGTCTAAGGCTACATCAAGGGAGAGACTGATTGGCACGATCTCCAAGCCCATATCAACAATCTTAACCGCTTTCGACTCATGCTCAAGATACCACAGCAAAATGAGACTCCCTTGCACAGGACCGACCGCCGAGCTCTGCAGCGCGCATACAAGAAAGCAGTCAGGATCCATACCGAGCACACCCAGGTGGGTGACCTCCAAGCCTACAATACGGTTAGAACTTAGCGAGTGAGATTTCTCGAGAGAGGCGGAGGCCTACGAGCGGATGCTTAGAGACTGACTGAATAACATCGAAGACCCAGAGGGATACGATGCGGTTGGTGTGTAACAGAGTGATATCCCAAAGTGGACTCTGGCTACTACAAAACCACCTACGTTGTTCAGAGCCCGCGACGGGCAAAAGCCGGGAGGCTGGAGCATACAATCAAAAAGGTTGTCGACACTGTCAATACTATACCGAAAGACAAGATGTCGGATCTGAATGAACGAGACCCTGCGAGAGCAGTAAACGAGTGGCAGAATCTCCCAGCAGGTCAGCTCAACAGCAACAAGGTGCAACGCAACATGATGAAGCTTGTAATGGCTAGATATTCCCAAATCAATTCAATCCACTACAGCACAATCCTCGGAGGCCCGCAGGCGAATGCCGGACACCTCGAGAGTATCATTAAGAAACTGGTAGCCACCATCACCACCAGCTGGATTGGAACTTCGTCGTGGCTTCAAGCTTTTGTCGAGGGCGAGACATGCTGGTCAGATTACCAAGTTATCATCAACAACCTCCACCGCATGTCAAAGCTCTTGAAGCTAATCCCGGAGGGCGAGACGCCTAGAAATAGCGTACAACGCCGCACGCGCCGCGAAGCGTACAAGAAAGCTCTGCGCGCCTATCAAGAACACGTCCGTCTGGGGGCAGAGGCGGAGATTCCGACAGCAGAAGATGCCTTAGACGACTTGTCGACAAAAGTCGGCGTGACACAAGTTGAACTTCAGGGCGCTTGGGACGAGCTCGCTTCCCTCCGTGGCCATGGAGAAGGCATCATTCCCACGACCTGGCGGGCATCTCGATCTGGTTCGGATGGGGAGGCAGTCGCGCCTCCCGCCGCTCGCCGGCCGCGCCCTTCGCTGCTGAGCGTACAAGAAGGCGATCCGAAGTCACATGGGCACAACCACCCAGAAGTGGCACTGGAGCTCGGTGGTGCCGAAGCAGCACTAGAAACTGCCCCGGCGCTCAGAGACGGTGTCACTCATGTCGAATGAGATGACGCCGTACTGCGTAGCATATAATCCACTTCACCCCATGGTACTACGATGACGCAGAGCGAAACGAGCCACTCACGACTTCCGCAACATCGACGACCTTGACGAAAAGATACTCTCACGAATGAGAGAAATCGCAAGTATAATACACTGCGTAGCATATACCACAAGAACCCCGTCTAGCTCACAGACCTCGTGTCCCAGTACATCCTAGAACCTATAAAGGCGACAGCAGTTTGCCAGAGCTCGGCGACCAAGTCTCTCGTCCGAAGCTCGCTTGACTTCCCCGACAACAAGGCTCTCGCGTATGCAGAGTTTAAGCGCGCTGATTCGATCCTCTACCCTCTAATCCCCCCGGTTCCCACATGATCCTGTGGGTCCAGGGTGCCCCAAGCCAGAAGATGCGGACTAGGAAGCGCGCTCGAGAGAGCGATGATGATGAGGAAGAAGGACGCGGCATGGCAAATTTCTTACGTGATAGGGAGTGAGGGGTTGGAACGGAAGTGTTTACTACGTTTATGGTGTAGGGAGGAAGTCGCGCTTGCCGGTAAGTACAGGTCATTCTGTGCAAGCCCAGTGAGCGAGATAGCGTAGGAGACTGGCCTCGAGGAGAGCGCGGATACTACTCTCATCCAGTGAGAGGCCGACATCTCACTAGTGAAGTCTCCAGGCGGCAGGCTCAGGTAAGCTAGAAGCCGACAAAGCCTTAGTGACGCCTTGTACAGCTTATCTCATCGGACCGTGAGGAAGACGTAGCCCTTTAGCTCTCTCACAAGATCCGATACAAGCAAGTGCGCAGCCGATAACTCCTCAGTGACACTCTATCGCTTTTGGCACCTCACAGCCTGAAAGCGACGTAGCACTCACCGAAGAGGTACAAGCTTGCTTCTATTCGTCAACTCCTTCCGACCATGATATCGGTCATGGCTCCAGTGTTCACTACTCTCAACATTACTCGACGCTCGCCCTATCTCTGAGCTCTTCACCATTCAGGGCGAGCTCGCGGCAAGATGAGGTAACCTTGACCGTCGTGGGTGGGTGAGGAGGGAAGGTACCAGAGGGCAATCGCCGTTCTTGTACTTCCTTGGCCGGAGATCACATCCATGCCCGGGTGGTCTTCCACAAGCTTGCGATCTTCTCCAGAGTTATTCAACTATTACGAAACCGCTTGTTGTACTTGGTTTTAGCGACAAGATTGGTCAGGTTGCGTTACAATTATTCACGGGCACATTGTAAGCTTGTCGCTAGGCTATAGTATCTTAATTCTCTCTGCTCAACGGCATTGTCGCCTCCACGCACTCTCGTGAGGTCCCAACGCTATTCGTATCCAGTCAAAGTCGTCTTCCGCCCCATTAGCTACTCGCCGTAGCTTGATTGGTCGGTTGCACTTCACAACACCCCTCGCGACAAAGGACTCGGGCCGGATCTACCAAATTACTTCCTGAACAAGCTTATGCTATCTGCCGCTATACAAGACTCGTCTTGCTACGACTTGCACCCTCACCTCGGTGACCTGCCACTAAGCCGCCGCCATCCAGCAGTGACGCCTTTGCTGCCTTCTTGTTGCTAGCTGCCCCCTCGACTCGCAACTTGGTGAGAATGTGGCGGAACGCCTCCTCTGTTAGATTTGCTATCTGGTTTCTTAGATGCTTGCTCACACTATTATGGTGCCACGCCAACTTGACCTTCTTCTTCTTCTTCTTCTTCTTCTTCTTCTTCTTCTTCTTCTTCTTCTTCTTCTTCTTCTTCTTCTTCTTCTTCTTCTTCTTCTTCTTCTTCTTCTTCTTCTTCTTCTTCTTTCGGGTTTTCATGACGTACGCCTCGATAGAGTTTGGCGACTCACATGCCCATACAGTGACCTCTGAGTTCTGCTTAATCCTGTTCACTCGGGCGATCGCCTGCGCTTTAGCAGCACAAGACACATGCAACTTCTTTCGCGAATACCTACCGGCTGTGTTGAAGGACTCTCTCACTCAGGCGGCAGCCTGTGCCCCGGCGGCGGTGGTTTCTGGCTAGATGCGCCTGTTCGAGGGGCGGGACCTGTGCTGCCTGGATGAGTGTGAGGCCTCGGCCGCCTCCAGACGCCTCTGGTATACGTAGTTGATTCTGGAGATGCTCATGAGAGTTGGGATGGCCGTTACAACTACAACGAGACTTCGCTTCGGTCAGACTCTCCATCTTTCTCCTCAACCGCTCACTCACCCCCTTCTGATCCAATGTCAAAACAGCCTTCTTCTTCCTCTCCCGTTCTTTTCCGACGTAGCGCTCAATTGGGTTGTGTGCATAAAACGTCCAGATAGTCACCTGACGGTTCTGACCGATCCGGTTGATCCTCGAGGCGGCCTGGGCATCAATGGCAGGGTTCCACCTTGGGGTCAGGATGAACATATCTGTAGCCTCTACCAGGTTCAAGCCCAAACCAAAGCACTGAATGGTCGCCAGCATGACCCTGACTTTGTCTTTGGGGTCGTTGAATCACTCGCGCATAGCGTCCCTCTCCTTCAAGCTCATGTGGCCGTTGAATTCGAGGAATTCGATGCCCGTTGCTTTTAAGGCGTTGGACACAACGTCTAGAGTCTGGAGAAATTCATCAGTGTTGATGATTTTCCCCTCGCTCTTGGGCTCGTGCAGGATGAAAATCTGCTCGATCAGCTTGTCAATTCGTGTGGAGTGCCAATCATTCTCTGTCTCCTTCAGCAGTTGCTTGCGGGACTCTTTCGCGGTCATGTCGATGTAGGCCTCCCCTTTGGTAAGGCTCTCCCACTCCACAAAGTCGAGACTTGCTGACTACGTCCAAAGACCGCAGAAACTCATCTGCTACGATGATCTTGCCCTCCGTGGCCGACTCATGAATGGGGACGAGTTGCTGCGTCAGCATGTTGATGCGTGCAGAGCTCCAGTCGTCCTTGGTTTCATCCAAGAGACGCTGTCGCGCCTGCTTGTGGCTCATATCTAGGAAGATGTTCTCGTGAGCCAGACCCATGGTCGCCTCTAAGTCAAGGCCGAGCCTCTCAAAGTCTTTCGCACCCCCATATTCATCCTTGCTCTCAGAATCTTTGGCAAGGTTCGCTCCCTCATCATCTTCGCTAAGGTTTTGTCTCTCGCGCGCTTCCACCTACTCCATAACGGCTTTATAACCTTCTGATGAACAGGCTCCTGGGGGCTGGATGCGCTTCTTCTCCCTCGCGATTTGGCCAATGTATGCCTCTGGCACCTCTTTCGGTCATCTGTTGATCCAGCTCTAATATATCGGAGTCTTGCGCCCCTCTATCACAGTTCCCAGTAAATTGTGACTCGCGTTCACGTAGCCTTCGCCCTCGTGGTTCACGACAGCGTTGGGCGTTGCAACGTGATCGAACGCGGTAAAGGAGACGGTGACGGTATCGCTACTCGACGTCTACCACCAGTACTTCCCCATCGTCCCAAAGCTCTTGCGCAAGAGATAGCCTGACAGTATCTACCAGCTCCAAGCCCCCACCGGCCGTCTGGATGGATACGGAAGATGGAGACCGTCCTGGCGTCCACACCCCGGCGGCCACTCCTGGGTGAACGACCTTCATGCGTGCTTTGAGGACCTCTGGCAGGGCCCAGACACGGAGTTTGTCGGACCACCGCTCTCTGTCCTTCCCCCCCTTCTGCTTACCCCAAATGGGTCTTGTCTCTTTCTTGTGCGCCGCCTCGGCCGTCGGTAGTGTCAATCTCGTGTTTCTCACGCTGTGTCGCGAGAATTCAACGAGGCGACCTCCATTGAAGGTGTCGTCGATTGCGAGAGGGAAGAAGCAGGCCCGTAGGCTCGTGGAGAGGATCGCGTTTCTTATGCCCCTGAGGGTCTTCGCCTTGGTCTTCTTCGGCTTCTTGGTGACGAAGTAGTCATTAAATACTTTGATGTCGTTCCAGGGTTGGATCCTTAGCCATTTCATGAGGGTTTGAACCTCGTCGTAATCATTTTCGAGGGGAGTTCCAGTAAGACCCATCCTCTTCTCAGCCTCCAGTGCGCACATGGCCTTCAAGGTCTCAGACCGCGATCGACTGGCCTTACCCATCTCAGCGGCGATGATGAGAGCGTACCGAAGCAGCATACTGGGGTAACTACCCCGAATGGGTAGAGGGCCCTTGTACCCGTTGTTCCTTTGGCCGTCCAGTACGGCCGCGATTTCCTTGAACCTGGTGTATTCTTATCGTACGTTGTCGTGTCCCCGCACCGTCATGAGCCAACTTCGTTCGTTGTTTCCATCGTTCGTATTCCTCTCGCGGAACTTCTCACATGGCATAGCATTCACATACAGGGTCGCAAGGCCAAGCAGACCTTATTTATAGGTAGCGATAACATAATAATTATTTAATTATTTATATATTTCTATATAAATAAAATACTTATAAATTAGTTATAAAAAAGTTTTTAAAAAAGTTTTTAAGTTTTTAAAAAAAGTTATAAGCTTAGTATAGCTATATTTTATAAGTAGTATAGTATATTTTATAGTACTTTAAATATAAAATATTTTCTAAGTAAAGCTACTACTTATAATAGTATATTAAAAAAAAACTTTTAGCTTTAAAAAAATAATATATTTAATAATAAAAAATAAAGCTAAAATAATAACTACTATATTAATAAAATCTTTATACTTAGCTTTAACTTATAGCTAACTTACTTAATATAGTATAGCTTAAACTAAAGTTCTAAGTATATAGTTAAAGATATTATTATATACTAAAAATATTTATATATTTATTTATTAATTTATTAGTAAACTAATAATCTTATAGTAGAAGCTAGTCTAAAAAAAGTAAAGTCTATTACTAGTATATAAAAAGACGTATTTTAAAAAAGTTAAAATCTTATATTTAGAGGTATAGACGTTAGATAAGCTAAAGCTTAGATTTTTAGTACTACTATCTCTAGCGTAGTTAAAGCTTTTAAAATTTAGGCTAGTAAGATAACTATTTTATAAATACTAATATCTATTTATAGTAAAGTAAATTATAATATAATTATATATTCTTAATAGCTTATAACTAATAAAGCTATAAATTATAAAGTAATAAAATACTAAAATTTTTAGTAAGTAAAATTATACTTCTACTATATATATACTCTTTATTCTTATTTTACTACTTATAATAAATTAGAAATCTAAAGACTTATTAAAGATATAAATAGTAGCTTAAATCTAATACTAAAGCTATACTAATATATATACTAAATAAGCTCTAACTATATTCTTACTTATACTTCTTTTATAAGTTTTTCTAGCGTTAGTAAGTCTAAAGCTAATCTTATTACTAGTTATATTACTTTACTTACTAAAGCTTAATTAAGCTTTTTATTATTACTATATTAATTATTTTTCTTTTAAACGTGTTACTTTATAAGTTCTTTTAAAGTTATTATTCTAGAAGCTATTATAGAAGCTATTATAAACTACTATATTTATACTATACTAAAGGCTATTATAAGCGCTCTAAAGAGCTACTTTACTAGTATAAAGCTATATACTAAACTTATTAATATTTCTATTACCTCTATTTCTATTATTTCTATTTTTAATATTTTTATCTTTATTATCTTTATTATTTTTATTATCTTTATTATATATATAGCTAGCGTAAAACTTTCTATTATTCTTTTTTCTAGCCTTACTTTTAAGAAGCTTATTAGTAAGATATATAAGCTTTTTAGTAGTTATAGTTTCTTACTTATAAAAAAAAAAAACTAAAAAAACTATTTTATTAAAGACTATTCTATTAATAATCTTACTAATAAAATACTACTAGTTATCTACTATATTATTATTTATAACTAAGTATATAAAGTAAAAGAAATAATAAATCTACTTTTCTTTTTAGCTTTATAAAAAGCTATACTTTTATAAAAAAATACTTTAGCTAAAATACTTTATAAAAATAATAAGAGCTAAAATAGTAAGAATATAGTATTTATAAGTTACCTTATATAGTAAAATACTATTTATTAAATAGTAGCTATAATAAACTACTATAACTTTTATTAAGACTTAAGCTATAAAAAAATAGTTATTATATTATAGTTATTAGAGAATAGATACTATAAGGCCTAGTAAGTACTAGTATTTCTATTACTACTATATTATATAGTTCTTAACTACTATATAAAGAGAGTATATAAATATATATAGGCGTAGTCTATATAAGTATTAGTGCTAATAGTAATATATACTAAATATCTTAAAATTTTAAAATCTTCTAGCTATTCTAAGATAACCTAGAAGCTAGACGTTTTTTAATATTTTTTTACTAAATAGAGTTTATAAAATTAGGTATAAAGTACTAATTTATATATTTAATAAAATATAGAATAAAATATAAAAAGTTAGACTTTATTTTTAAAATATAAGATTACTTTATAAGTAATTTAATAAATAAAGTAAAAGCTTTTTATATATATAGCTTAATAAATAAATATTAATAATATTATAAATAATACTATAGTAAAAGCTTAGTTAAAAAGTAAGAAATAAGCTCTAACTTAGCTTTTAAAAAGAATAATAAGCTAAAAAGTTTTAAATAAAAGTAAACTTAGCTTTTTAGATATACTTAAATATTATAGTAATAACTAAATTATTAATAAAATATTAGCGTATAAGTAAGTAGTAATAAGTACTTATATCTTAGTTATTATATAAGTATAAGTAATAAGTACTTAATAGAACTAGTAGTATTAATATAATTAAATTATTTATTATAGGTAGTGATGACCCTAAAGCTAAAACCGAGGAGTGACTTTGACCTCTGGCAACATGCGGTTTAATACACTGGATATATGGATACCCAGAGTACCACTCATTAGGCCGAACACGGCCGGGGTCGTGATGTCAACGATGGATCGTCCCATGAGAGTGAGAGTGAAGATAATTACGACAATGAAGACGGCAATCTCGCGAATCTCAAGGACGATTCCGAGGATGGAGAGGTTAGCCCGGATGTTGAGGATGTTCTGAACGGTATTTCAGACACTGAAGACACCATGGTGAAGCAGGCTTTTGCCTTGTTTCGCCAAGGACGCGACACACCCGCCAGCAACACATCCTTGCCAGAGTACCTCACGGAAAATCCACAATTAGTGGGCACGAATACCCAGCGGATACGGCGCCGACATCGTCCCGCAGCGTATGGCTACCCCATACCACAACAACTCCAAACCCTACAACTCCGTGGGATGACGCACCAGCGGTAGCTTACCGGCCTATGCTTCGCAGCTCACACTGAGATATTACCCATAAAGTGGCAATGCTATCTTCAGAGGGATGCTTGTGCAGCTCTAGCTCGAGGATCGTGATGTGGAAGACATGGCGGAATATAACGTTAGAGACGTGGTGGGCGACAGGGACAAAGGGTAGGTGGATAAATAAGCCGGGAAGTAAGATCCTGCTGTCACTCTTCGCACTATCCAACCAAACCTCATCGTGAAGACTACATACAGCAATCACACGTCTTATCGTGTCGGCGCAAGGGACCGCGAAGGCGACATAACTCCCACAGAACGACATCGTCTCACAACTCATTGAATAAGACCCGATCGTCGAACCTCCTCAACACCTACTCCTCACATGGCGGAGATGCGAAACTTCCACGTGCTAGGCGCCGACGATGGTTTGCCCAGAGGCGAAGACGAAACTTCAAGCCGGGGTATCGAGTTCTCGGTCATGTTGTACTACATGGGATGGGGAGAGTTCCCCAATGAACACAAGAATGGATATTGGGCCACCGCGTCGGATGGCACACCAGCGGCGAGACCCAAGGGCATGATGCCGAAGGATTATCCGATTCACTCCACGTCAACGGGTCGACTTCTTCGTGATGAGAGGAGGCAGACGGAGTTAGACAAGCGGGAAGAAGAGTACGAGATTTTGACAGCGGAAGCACGGAAGGCGCCTGATCTGCCTGGATAAGATCCGGGTGCGCTCTGCGTGGTGAGTTTGTTTCAAACTGCGGCCATGGAAATCCATCACCGCCCTCCGTTGATCATCTCAATCATACTCCTGAACTCTATCCTGTTCTCGGGTGCTTTTAAAGATACTCGCAGACGAAGACTGGAGGTCGATGTAGACTCCTAGAGGTCTTTCGGGGCAGAGAGGCGCCCATCCGCAAGTACTTGTCGTCTTGCGGCAGACGCATCACTCGACTTTGATAGGGCCGTCCATGTATAGATGCTCTCCACGAGTGGCTGTCATCCATAGGCGTCTGCAAAGCTCTTCGGTTATGATATGATCCTGCATTCTATGGTGAAGTTTGCATGCTATGTGTTGGAAATCGATGTCCTTGCAGCTCGTAATCGAGTGCAGACGGTGAGTTACAGCGCTGTTTGAGTTAACCGGAGTCTCCTCGCCCCAGTGTTGTCGTTATTCCGGCGAACGACGAGGTAGATGTCAGCTTCTCGCACTCTCTGTGTTTGAAGAATAACGGAAGGGGCAGGCCCCGGGGCGGTGACTTGGAGTCGGAGGAGCTGGTGATTGTCTTCTCTAAACGATCACGGCTCGGTGGGGTGCATTCGCTATCATCGCCATCGTCGATATCAGCCACCTCAGAACTGCGCCCTGACTCTGTAGCCTCGGAGTGCTCGGCACTTTTGAGAGCTGGCGATCTCTTTCTCTAAAAGACCACGGCTCGGTAGGGTGCAGACCTTCCTGGTACTGCTGAAGGTTTCTCACTTGATCGCGGAGACCCTGAAGCGCGGTGGTCGAGTAATCTGTCTGGCGAGATGCGGTATCAAGAGCTTCTTCTGCTTCGGCGAGTTGGGCTACAGCTCCCTGACGAATGTGATACTGGTGCACCCTGAGGCACTTCTTGTACTTCCTGCGAAGGGCAAGACGGTCGGTACGGTGTGCTACGGTTTCGTTGTCGGGAACATGAGCAGCTTGATGGTGTGGTTTATGTCGTTCAGCCTGGCTTTTAGGTCGTGCCAAACCATCCGTTGCTGGAAAACTCGGTCCTAGGGCATTGTCAGTTTTCTGTACCGATGAGGTCGTGATCACGACCACCCAGTGGGTACGCGACATCGTCCCCCGGCGTATGCCCACCCCATATCACAACAACCCCAGACCCTACGGCTCCGTAGCCTATTATACCAGCAGTAGCCGATCCCACGTTCTTCTGGGGATGAGTTCCGCAAGCTGGACGGTGAGATCCTGTTGGAATGCTTCGCACTGTCGAATCAAACTTCATCGAGGAGGCTACATACACTGACGACATGTATCACTGCGTCGGCGCAAGGGATCGCGGAGACGACGTTGTCTCTACACAAGGAGCATATAAACTACTAGCGCTATGCTGAACACAATTTTGTTGTATCTTGTCTCTGTTGGTGGGGTTACTCTTGCATGACGGTGTGTGAGTGGGTATGTAGAGGCGTGAACACGGCTGTGTACGGTGTCGGTGGGAGAAGCTTCACAATAGTGGACAGAAGAGGAGAAGTTGGTTGTTTGCAGTAAGGTTTGTCATTAGGCTGTGTGCTAATTCATAAACTTCCTATCTGAACGTAGACTTCATCTCCAGCATCCCTACCCGCTTCATTGAATTCGAAATACAGCGTCACTTTCGTTGCGTGCGTTGCGTGCGTCGATTGCGGCCATGACCTGTTTGAAAACGAGGTGCCGGATTTCTGCGACCAATTTCTCTCGTACTTCGTTGGTCGCCGCGTTGAACAAGTGGTGACGCACGTCGTCGATCAATTCATCGCGCGCTGCAGTGACGTTCAAGGTTTTCTATGAAGAAGACGTTAGCATAGTTCCTCTGCTTCACAACTGCGTGGCTAGACTCACCTAAGCCGATAGGTCCTTAGCAAGGACAGATGTAGTGTCGATAACAGCCTTAGCGAGGGGGGCTGCGTGCCAGATCATGAGCAGGAGGAATGTGCCCTTGACGATGAGAAAGACCAAAGCCCATGCAGTCTGCTTGTTGGCTTGCTGGTTTGCCTGGTCGTCATGGTCGATCTTGGCTTGGGCTTCTTGGCTGCGTTCGCCGTTGGCTGGGTTGACCCATCGTGGAGTGGATTCGAAAAGATTGACGATTTGGGCCCAGGTTGGCGTGGCAGGAGGGGTGGGGCCTGCTGGTGCCGATGGGGTGACTGGTGAGTTGGGCATTGTGCTCGTTTTGTCTTCGATATAGTGGTTATGAATGTCTGTGAGAAATGTGGATGGCGGTGGTGAAGAGGAAACAAGAGGGAGAAGGGGAGTGGTCTCCTTTTTATCGAACATGATGGCTACGTCAGCACCTGGTGCGTGCTTTGAGATAGGATACAAATGTGCAGGAGTGTGTGAGGTGCAAATCCAGAAGGGGGAGCGCGACGGGTTTTATAGAGCAAGTGCGAGGCCTTGCCGAGGGAGAAACTATGGTAGACACTGCCACACTCCCCACCCATTCTGCGCACATTACTCTAGCATAACCGCTCATTCGAAAGGATTGGGGTCGACTCTTGGTTCAGCCACACACAGTTAGGGCATATGATACTCTTTCACTTTCTGCAGTACTGCAGCCAATGAGTATCGCCTGTGTCCTCGCTGCTCGACGAGCGTGACGTCACTAATCAGAAGGAACAATGTCAGTTTCCCGCTGCCGTATGAGCGTGCCGTCCTTCCTTCTGCGTGCCAAAGTCGGCTTCCCGCTGCCGCATGAGTGCGACGTTCTTTCTTCCGTGCACCAACGTCGCCTTCCGACTGCGTCGTGGTTTCCCACAACACCAACCATCAACCCAACGTCGCTTCCTCCCCATACAAGACCCCCCGCCGCGTAGCAGAGCTACGTTGTCATGTCCTCCTCGCTACGGCATAGACAGCAAAGACTTCTGGCACAGTCTCCAGGTTGATAAGATCAAGGGCTGCGTATTTGCTGATAAGTTGCCCGAATAAGGATACCGCGAAGGTCTGGCTAAGCAATGACGTTCTGGACGTACTGAATGTGAATGGGAACGACGGGGGGGGGGGGGGGGGGG